TTATAAGACACCCCCACACTTTTAGATATTTTAGATTAGGTACAAAATCTTTTCACAATTTATAAGGTGTTTTATTAATTTTCCTATGGAGTATTCTATTTTGTAGAAAACAGGTAGATAATAAAGTTTCTTCTCATAAATTATCAAGTGCACCAAAACTCGTAAGCAAAGCATTTATAATTTCTTTTAAAGTGGTATTTTTCCTTTCTACAACTATATTAGACTCAGATAAATATGGAGATATTACGTCATGAATTTTTCCCCCTCTTTTACAAAAATCATTCAATAATAAATATTCTTCTCCTCTATCAGACCTAACTTGTTTAATTTTCCTATTCAATTGGTTTTCTACCTCTGCCTTGTACAAGGCAAATTTCTCAAAAGCTTCATCTTTTTTCCTTAATAAATACACTTTAGTATATCTAGAAAAATCATCAATGGAAGTAATATAGTATTTCTTACCATCTCTGGTTTCTATTTGTTTTAGATCTTCTGAATCAGTATGGATTAAAGATAACAACTCAGTTTTTCTTTGTATAGAAAAATATGACTTTTTAGTTAATTTAGTTTCTGTACAGACCTCACATTTGCTAATATCATTATTTTTTGTTTCAGAAATTAATCCAAAGTGTTGCAACCTTTTTATATATTTTCTATTAATATGCCCTAATCTAGCATGTCAAAAATGAAAAGAATGAATGAAATAAGTAGAAGACAATGCATTATTATTCATATCATCAACACTTAATAAAAAGAGGTCTTCCCCACAAAAACATTATTCTTTATCATCATAATCTTATCAAATTCAAATAACACTTTAACCTCAACTTTTCCTAATAAAGCCACAAAAATTAAATTCGCTCTAATATTAGACACATATAAAATATCATTCACCCTAGAGACTGTTTCTACACTGCTTTTTTCTTCCCCCTCCCCCCGGGGGGAACTTTTGCCGTTTGGGAGTCAGCAAGGTAAACTTAATCTTCCTCATTAGGAGTTACTCGCACAAATGTGCCCTGGTGCACCTTTGACTAAACAGATGAAACATGGAGGGCTTGTAATGGTGAGGAAGTCAATACATAAATGAGGCTAAAAATTTTGAGAATTTAATATATTCCTCAGCTCAATATTTCAGTTTTGCATTTTAACACGTGCATTCTAATATTTCGAGACGTTTAAAACTCTAATGTGGCTTTATTAGTCTTTAATTACACACACGTCAGATATTTACTAATTTAAGCATTCAATAAGAAATGTTTTATTGTTTTCAGTTTACCTCGCGTATATTTTTTGGGTGAAACCTCACGTATATTAAATACGCCCATACATTGCACTGAGTCATTGTTACTCAACTTGAGCGTCGACAAATAACAACATAGTTTAATAATAACATATCAAATAAATAAAATTAATTTAAATAAAACTTGTGAGCCTGACTCCTGGGCAAAAGCCATTTCAGGATAGAAGACAAGCAATCAATGAAAATAAAATTAATTGAAACATTTAAAATTTAAATTCACAAAAATAATTATTAATATAATAAAATTAATGGAGACAATTGTTTAAGATTTGAATTAAAAACATTTTTAATCCTGAGAGCTTTTTCAAATTGTGGGTTAATTCCTATAGCTTCATATATTTATGGTTTAAGTTTAATAATTTGGTAATCATCACCACACTTGAACAAATTTTGCTTTTGATCCCTATATTTAAAGTCAAACTCGGCTCTAACACCACTTTGATACAGCGTCACAGCAATAGAGGGAGACGGGGAGAGAGAGAGAACTGAGTAAATTCCTATTCCACAGTGAGTACACGTGTCAGCCTTTATATACTTCTTGGCCTTGTTCAGTTAATTCCCTATATTAGACTCAGTTACACTAATCCACTTGCTATAATTGTGACGCGTGTGAGAATATAAAATGAATACATACATTACAAACCTCATGAAACTATATGAACCACAACCAATAATTTTAAAACTATAGGAAGCAAAACCAAAATCAAACGGGGACCAATAATGCTACTAACTCTTCAGATTTTACAAGGATGCAGACAATAATACCCACATGAATGGTCCTATCTTTTCTCATACTATATTCATTATATTTTCTTACTTCCTATCAAATATAACATTCAAGGCAACAATCTTAACGCATAATCCGGTGAACAAACCAAGAAAAATAGAAAGGCATCTATTGTTCTAGAAACAAAATTTAACATTACGCTCTAAACAACAAGTATCCTATCAGAGTAATGAACCGACCAATCTGATGGCTTAGTACGTCATGTTTTCAAGAAGCTCTGATCAACTTAAAAGTACGAGACAAAAACATAATGCTCAACTCTTCTAAGAAAAGTTCATGCCAAATCCAAACAATTTGGAAAAATCACAAAACTCTCTGAAGATAATCTAGAAACGGAACCCTTCGATCATTTAGGTCAGTAGCAATTTGTGATGAAAGCGCCACTGCCAAGAGCTTATGCTTTCTTGCTTGTTGCCAATTGGGTCTCCGGCTACAAAAATCAACCATTCACAAACATTAGATGAACAAAGCCAGAAAGGAATCAACATCCAAAAGACAGATGATCAAAATCCATACCTCCTTCCTCACAGGCTCTTCTTTCTCAGATAGTATCAACTCTATGTGGCATGGAGATGACATGTAGGCTGCAAAAGCAGTCGTCAATCAATAAAAGCAAACAGCCCAAAAAAAAAATTTTAAAATAAAATCTCAAAGGTTTAAACATACGGTTGATTCTTCCATGAGCTCGGTAGGTTCTGCGTCTTTGCTTTTGTGCTTGATTAACCTGGATGTGAGAAATGTAGAGAGCATCTACATCCAAGCCTTTCACCTGCAAAGATGCCATGAACAGGTAAATTGATAGGCAGATGATGGCATAAATTGGTTTTAAAAAGCATATTAACATGACATACTTCAGCATTACTTTCTGCATTCTTGAGCAAATCAAGAATGAATTTAGCTGACTTCACAGGCCATCGTCCTTGCCCATTGGAATGTCTGTTCTTCGCCTGGGCTGTCCTCCCAACACCACCGCAGAACCTTCTGAAGGGGATAGCCTGTTTGTGGGCTAGCACATCCTCCAAGTACCTTTTTGCCTTTGCCAAGGGCAACTTCCTGAGGGCAAACGCTGTCTCCCTAGTGTTCTGTAAAGTTATATGGCAAATACAATTTAGTGAATAGCAAATGACTAGTTTAAACTCCATCTTTCACTAAATTTATTTCAGATGAAGTAAAGGATTCGCACAATAACAAATTGCACATAGCATTGATTGATACAAGGTTGAAGCATTAAAAATAAAAATAAACGGAATAAAGATTTATTTTGCAAGCAAATATTGTTATTGAGGCCAGCTATAAAAAAATAACACATTAGATGAGAAAAGTAATAATTCTACATACTAATGATTTCTTCAATAAAAAGACATCCTCAACTAACATGGCAACATAGAAGGGACTAATGGATGCATGCAACTATAAGACACGTTCCATCATTCACTGAACCTTCAGTGACAAAAATTACACAGAGGTTCACCCAATAACAATGGTGATTATGTACCTGAGGTTTACGAGTGATCTGCTCACATAGACAACAGATCCTGCTTTTTCCCATCAGGTTTTCTTATTTCTTCTCTAGTTTCTATCAGGGAAAATGACTTCAGTATCAACTCTCTCTCGGACTAAAAGCTAGAGTACTGCAGAAATATATGCAGCACGATTCCATTCAAATCACACGGCAAATTTTGACACTAACGAATTACTGCAATTCAAAAGAAAAATGTGTGTATTGCCGGCACTCTCGTAGCCTAGACATGTTAAACGGCATTCCATTTCTAACAAAATTAAAGATAGTTCAAACCATAAAGAAGACCAAACGTAACAGATATTAGTACCTTAAAGTGGACTCTAAGGTCGGAGCCTCTGGCCTTGCAGGCTGCACGCGTATGATAATCGCATATTAGATCCAAATAAACAAACCAAACCCAAAAGCTCAAAACCATAAAAGTTCGCAACCAGATTATGTGAAAAATTGATCAATAACAATATAAAACGACCAAAGGCGTAGCTTTGCAATGATCTAATCGAAAAGTAGGAACAGAAGAGGATTCTACAATTTTATGGACTTGAGAGAGCAAAATTGTACTTACACTTGGTGGGATTGTCAGGTTCTCTGGAGTACTTCACCTAAGAAAAAGGAAAGGAACAAAATGAAAACCAATAGCGTGGAACGAACGAATGATTTCTTTGCAACTATCGAAATCGAAAAGATAAGCTGAAGGAAGAAGTTCACGTCTACCATGGCGGCTGGCTTATGCTGCTGCTTCTGCCCTAGCTTGAAGGCCGGAGAAGAAATAATTTCTCTCGCTCACAATTTATAAATGAAGAACAAAACACCCAACAACCCGGAGTACTGTAACCCAGGAACCCGCATAATAGGTTTGGACTTGGGCTTTAACCAGATCTGGCCCATTTATTGCGAGGCATGACAATGGGCCAAACCAAACTGCACGAGGCCCATTATACATTATTTATGCGTGATATCAAACACGTTTTTATTGTACTAACTAGATAACTAATTAGATAGATTAAAAAATTAATTAAATTAATTATTTATAAAATTGTGTATTAGCTTTTTAAAATTATTCAGTTTTTTTTACCAGCATTTAAAATTATTCTATTTAATTATGCATATTGAATATTTCTTAATGATAACCTTTACCATCAATAAGAACATTATGAAAAAACCATTATAAACTTAGAAGACAAGATAAATTAAAATACTATATTTAAGATATAATTTAGCCATTTAGCTAACTCTAGAACCGGAAGTAATATTAATTAGCAAAATTTATTATTTATTAAATGCACATGCCATATCCTTTTAAGTCCCCAGACATGCGTGATTGATGTTAATTTGAGATCACGGAGCTGTCATATCCTCGGTGAAGAAAGCAACATATCGTCTTCGCCAAAAAAAGCCAAAAAGCACCATAACGTCTCTTCCGAAGTCTTCCACTTATTTGTCGAAGTTCAGGGATCTCCTTCTTCTCTCGAGATTCTTGGTCCTCATCTTCGTGTTCATCTCTCTCTCTCTCTCTCTTTCAGTTTTCAAACTTCTTTGTGATCCTTTCCTCTTCAGAGTTGCATTTTTCTTGGAGGCATTCTTGACCAGTGACATCTGCAAATCTTTGCGAAATACTTCAATCTATTCATATCGGAGCGATTTAGTCACCTGGTTGACGCTGGCCTAGTTGATACCATTTCTCAGAATTTTGAATTCTTTCGCTGTTGAGTCAGAAGCTGCCGTTCATTTACCTAAATCGGATCGCTTTCTACAAACACAGCAATGGTCAAAAACGGGGAAGAGCTAAGTTTTACGAAGGTTTCCATCACTGAGACCTAACTCGCTTTGAGTTCATTGCAAATAGCAATTGCAGGAAGACACAGACATATGAGCTTTTCCACATCAGAATGTTGGAATTTGATATGCAGAGTTAATAATTATTTAATATTAAATTTTAGGGTCACACTTTATTAATGTCTTTGGAAGATTCACCTCCAAATTTGCGTGAGTCATGGATGGTTTATTTCATGTGTAGAGGATTAAGAAGGGAATTTTTTATCCACCATAACATTTCATCAGGCAGGGAAAAAACATGTTTGGCAAAGTGGTTCTTTCTTCCATTTTCGTGCTCCTACTCATCGCCTCATATACAGTTTTCAAAGGTGACTTCAATATTCGATCTCATTTCGCCATGTCATTAAATTCTTCGTCTCCGGAGGTTGTATATGCACCTCCGCCTCTCCTGATCTACATGTACGATCTTCCTCGTCGATTCAATGTCGGGATGCTTGACAGGAATAATTCGGCGAAAACTCCGGTTACGGCCCAAGATTGGCCGCCGTATCCGGTGAATTCTGGGCTAAGGAAGCAACACAGCGTAGAGTACTGGATGATGGGTTCGCTTATCTATGATGGAGACAAAGACCAAACCGAAGCAATAAGGGTTTCGGATCCTGAACTTGCCGATGCCTTCTTTGTACCATTCTTTTCTTCATTAAGTAATAATTTACATGGGCATCAAATGAGTGGTCCAGCTACGGAGGCTGATCATAAATTGCAGGTATTATGGAGCTAAATTCGAAAATTTAATTAGTTATTTAAAGAGAAGCTTGAGCCACTTCTTTTAGCAAATTTGGTTCATTTATATTATCTCCTTTCTGTATTGATGTGGTTGTTTTTACCTCATAAATGTGTCTTCAGATTTGCTATTACGATATCTTCTTTTATGATTTGTTATTTCAAGGCACTGATTATGGTTTGTTACTGGTTTTAGAGTGATGTAGTTGAATTCTTGAGAAAATCTGAATATTGGCAAAGGTCAGGAGGTAGAGATCACATTATTCCTATGACACACCCAAATGCATTTAAGTTCCAGAGGAATCAGGTTAATGCGTCCATTCAGGTCGTTGTCGATTTTGGTCGCTTCCCCAAGCGTGTTTCTAATTTGAGGAAGGACGTGGTGACCCCATATGTACATGTTGTGGATACTTTCACTGATGATGATGAGTCAAAAGATCCATATCAGTCTCGCTCTACTCTGCTTTTCTTTCGAGGCGGAACAAAACGAAAGGATGTAGGTTTTGGATAAGAGTTAGTTTAAAGAGCTCAGCAACTGTTTGTTCAAATGCTAACGAAAACGAACTGATTTTGTATGTTCTGGGATGTTGCAGGAAGGTACTATCCGTCTTAAATTAGCTAAAATACTAGCCAGTAAATATGATGATGTTCGCTATGAGCAGGGTGTTGCTTCAATAGACAATATAAAAGAGGTATGTAGAAGGGAGTTAAGATGTCTAATCATGATTATAATTTCAAGCATTTGCATTATAATTTTCTTTGCCATGTAACCAAAAGTCATGTTAAACTAGATGGATCTTCTATATCACATTGACTAAAAGAAATAACAAAACTCATGACTTGTCAGCAATTTGTTGTATGCATGTATTATGGGGATATTATGATTTTGGAACTTTCTGGGTAATCTAAACAGATAATTACTATCATTGCCGTAGACTTTTTTCTCTTATAGTTGATTTGTTGTTGCAACAGGCTACTAAGGACATGCGTTCATCAAAGTTCTGTTTGGATCCTGCAGGGGACACGCCATCGTCTTGTCGTCTGTTTGATGCAATCGTGAGTCATTGTGTTCCTGTGATAGTGAGTGATAAGATTGAACTGCCATTTGAGGATGAGATTGATTACACCAATTTCTCAGTGTTTTTCTCCTTTAAGGAGGCATTAGAGCCAGGCTACATGGTGGATCAGCTTCGTAAATTTCCAAAGGAGAAATGGCTAGAAATGTGGAGGCAACTCAAGAACATTTCCCATTATTATGAATTCCATTACCCCCCAAAAAGGGAGGATGCTGTTAATATGCTTTGGAGACAGGTCAGGCATAAGCTTCCTGAGGTCAGACTTTCTGTTCATAGAAGCCGCAGATTAAAAATCCCTGATTGGTGGCGTCGCAGATTATTTTAATGAACATTGTCATGTTAGTAAGAGGGAATGAAAAGATCTTAAATAAGAAGCATTTTTTTTTACCTAAAGAAAGAAATTCTCTAACGTTGATTTACAATCCACTCTACCACTTAAAACTGATTCAACTAGGATCTTGTCATGTAAAAATCTTTGAAAATGAATACATCTATCTTAATTTGCTGTTTGAGTTTCCCTGTTTCCTTGCCATTTGAGGAACACTTGTAATGTGATGTAAAGTTGGGAACGTGAATTAAAGATCAAAGATCATCTTTGGTCCAAGTATATGTGATTTTTGCCAGGGATGAGTTTCAACATTAATTAGTCATTCTAAATATTAGATTAGACCTGGACCGATTCAATAACGTCTTCAATATTCCTCTTACTCCCAGGTTCCGAATATGTTCAAGGATTGATAAAATTAAGTATTCGTTTGGTTCAATCCCATTGCAGGATTGCAATGGTAATTAAAATTGCATTGCCAAAAAAAGCATGCTTGGTTGTATTTTAGTTTAGTAGCGGGGTTTACCATGGTAATGATTATTACCAAAAAATTGGTAATGGCCATTCATACCTCCCCCCATGAAACCTCCCCCCTTGTGAATCCCTATTACTGTTCATTGCATGATTCAAAAAGTTTAATTTGTCCTTGTATTTGTTCTTGTTGCCTCCTCCCTCCTTCTCCATTATTGAAAGCCACCACCACAGCACCATTAGCCCCATCGACCAGAATCAACATTTTTCCCCTTCCTTTCCAACCCTTCTCTCTATTTTTTTTTTTTTCCGATGACAAGCCCTTCTCTTTTTTCTCCCTCCCTTCATTATCATCATTTTCTTCTTTGGCCATCAACGTTTGAAGCTGTGAATGTCTCCCTTTCATATCTGTTTTCTATGAACGTCTTCCTTTGAATCTATTTTTCTATAAATGTTCAAATCAATATTTGTTAGGACAAATATGAGATTTTCATGCTTCCGTGGTTCAATCTTGATTTTTATTTTGTTCCCTCTACAAGATTTGAAACTATGTTTAAAACTTGATTCATATATTTTGTTTCCCTTTTAATTTATTCTCATGATCTGCTCATGATTTTTTCTTTTAAACATGCTTATTCTTATTTGAATTTTATATTGACGCTAGTGTTTTGGTTGAGAAAGAAGATGATTGGGAATTGAAAGTTTTTGGGCATTTTGGACCTTTTATAATTCTGATTAAATATGAAAAATAATTTATGTACATCTTGTTAATAACAAACCTAACATATTGATGGTAATCATTATTGCATTGCACCCCATTGCATTCCCAAAAGAGTTTGCAGTTGAACCAAACGGGTCCTAAGTATTTTACAATTAAAAAGTGTTGCATTTGAAAAGAGAATGATAGTTAGGTTCCAAAAGATCAATTTAATGATTCTTGACAAAATTTTTGAAAATGACTTGCAAATATTAAATCAAATAGTTGCAAATGGAAATTTCAATTGCAAAATGAGAATTAGATTTAAAACTACATGTCTAATTTTTAATTAAACTCCTGAATTCATAATAGTATAAATATTTATTTTCAAATGATTATGTATAAAATTTTATTAGGAAACTATATGTAATTAAATTGATAGTTTGGTGCCTACTCGTCATTCTCTCATTATTAAAACAGCAATACTTTAAATTTTTTTACACTTATATTTTCTTTTTGTTGAATATTTTCCAAGTATACTGTGTATAGTAATTTTTAAAGCTGCAAACATTTTGAATGCAAGCTATCCATGTAACACAAAGTAACTTGGAATCCCCCAAAAACACAAAAAAACCAAAACCTCTTGTAAGTGAATATTGAACTATGAATACTTTAATGGTGTGTTTAGCTCAAAGGAGGAGAGGGGAAATGAGGAATTTTAATGGAGGGGATAGGAGGAGAAAGGATGGGAGGGATTTTAGTATCACCTTACCTGGATTGATGAGATGGGAGGAAAAGAAATGAATTTTCATGTCACCTTGTTTGGTTCAGGAGGGGAGGGGAGGAAAAATATTTTTATTTGGACAACTTTACCCTTATTTCATTTAAGTTGTTTTATTGAAACTGTATATAATTTTATTGAATTTTTTTTTGGATATATGAATTAATGCTCATAAATAAAATATATGACATTAGAATTTAGATTCAAAAAGTCCAAACGCAAGCATCCATGTTCCATATCACATCACATAATATATATTATATACAACAAAAATTTGCAAAAAAAAAAACAACTATATACAATAAAAACAAAAAGATTGAGTACAATTTCACTTAGCTATTTATGGTAAGAATATGATATAATTATCTATGTAATTAAAAATGAATAAGATCTTTGAATAATCAGCTCAAAAAAAAAAAGATCTTTGAATAAGCTGAAAAACATAATGGTCAGCCCATTTTAATAATCATACAAAGCCTAATAATAGTGGCCATAATAGGAAGACAATATTGGAAAATGTTCTATGATCTAATAAGAGTATAATAGTTACCATCTCTTCCCCACATGATGTTTTTCTTGCTACCATGGGCTATACTTACACAAGACTATATATCATGAATCTTATTTAAGAACAAAATAGCAGTCTAAGAACCAAAAACCACATCCATTGCCACTTGCTTGCGTAATGAAGCTGGACATGGAATAACCACCCTAAGTTTTACTGCATCATTCATGAGAAAATTATAAATCCTAGGAATCTTCTCTTCATTGCATCCACGTTCTTGATTCATTTTCAAAGTTTCTTCTCCTGAAATCTATAGAGCACATCTCTCTTTAATCACTTTATTCCCTTCACTTAGAACACTTGCAATGATTTCCATCTTCTTTGTAATTAGAGACATTGGATAGCATCTTTATCTCTGGATGTAGTAGTTTTTTTTTTTTTTTTGCTCTTCTTACTGCTCTCACTTAGTCCAGGAAATTGGTCAACCTCATTCTCTATAGTGATTGAGAAATTCTCTAAAGAAGCCTCATTATGAGAGGTATGATGATCAACCTCAACCTCAACAAATTCTTGAGAATTTGCATGTCTCCATTTCTTCATATTTCAAGGATTATCAACCTCATCTTCATTGGCTCTATCAATTCCATAAAGAGCCAATATTTTCTCATAGCTAAGTAAAAGGGTATTCCTCCAAAGGGCTGCTTTTGGTTTGACCTGAATATATATAAAATAAACAGATAAGGTGAGAATGTACTTGCCAATATCACATAATTGGGGGGCAAAAAAGAAGATTTACTCATCTCACCTCAATCAATTGGTCCCATCCTTAGTTCTTAGTCTCCCATCAATTAGTGGTTGAGTTCCATGAAAAGCCACTCATATCCCCTTTAAAAATATCATAAATTTCTGAAAAATTCTTCTTTAAAGTCTTTCAATGATTTTTGGCTTTATCTTTGTCAACTTTAAACCCAAACAGAGTATGTTATCATATCCTGTAGTTGTAAATGTTCCATTCACTTTATTACTAATATCTAGTTCATGCATAAATGCATCAATTAGGGCATCATCCATTTTGGAACTCCAAATCAAATTCCTATCAGTAGTATTCCTATCAACAAAATTCTTGTCAACAGCAGTGGCGTTTGCGGCAAGTGTCTTCTTTGGACCCATACTAATAGAATTTAAATACATCATATGAGTAAACAAGAAGCTAAAAAAGCAATACATTAAATAAGCAAATAAATTGAGTTATATGCATCTAAGTTTTCTAAGTTTTAATACACATAGATAATAAGCAATAAACAAAATCACTGGCAAGGAGTTATATGCATAAACCAAGAGAGATTAGGGAAATTCATTGTAATGTTTCAAAGAATTAGTATCTCTCCCTTTTTTTTAATTTCAAAAGAAAAAAAAGATCTTAAAAATACATATAGACAAGATAACACATTATATCTAACCTGATGCAATTAAAGTTAAAATGTTAATTATAAACTTATTATAGATAGCTTTTAATTATTACCATGACGTGGAAAATTTTTTAATCATCATCATTAATAGCTCATATCTTGGCAGAAAACAAACAGAAGCATATGAATGAATAGTTAATTAGAATATGATCAAAATAATAATTCAATATGATCACAAGAAACTGTCATGATATAAGCCTTCCATAATCTCAACAACAAATTTTTTTTAAAAAAAATACAACACTGAAAACACATCAAACTATTAACAATATAACAAATTGTAAAGTTTAGTTCCTAGCATTGTTTCTAGAATTAATCCTAACACTATTTTCATAATCAGTCCACATTTGAAGACCTATTGCATCCCTTATAAGCTTACCCCGAGCTACCTCAGTTCTGTCACCCCTTGGAGTATGGTTATCATCGTTAGATTCTTCTCGAGCTGCAAGTTCATCATCTACTTCTCAAATCAACTCTTTATTAAGGGTGTGTTTGGATAAAACCAAACCGTGGTTTGGAAAAGTGATTTTGGAGAATAGATTCTGGGAAAAATAGATTCTGTGAAGAATAGATTTTGTAAAAAAGTGATTCTGAGAAGTGAGAGTGTTTGGATAGTTGTTATCAGAAGCACTTTTTATATATACAAATTACTAAAAAAAAAATAAGTTAATATGATAATTACAGAAAAAATAAATTTTATGATATATTTTAATTTGAAGGAATAAATTTGTTAATAATATGTTTTTTACCAACATAATTAATAATACATGAGATAATATAATTAATAAATAATTAATGTGTATATATATTTATAAAATATAAGATTAAATATATTTATAAAAAAATGTGTTTATAAAAAAAATAACAAGATACATATCATATAGGCCCTCACACTCTCCCTTCTTTCTCCAAAAGCAAAAAAAATTTGCTTTTTCCAAAACCATGGTTTTGGAGTCAAAACCATGGTTTTGACCCAAAACCATGGTTTTGGTTTTTGGAGGGGGTGTTTGGGTAGATTATTCCCCAAACCATGGTTTGGGATGTTACCCAAACACACCCTAAGATCTACATTTATTAAGTAATTGTGTATAATACAACATGCAGCAATGATCAACTTTTGAATTTGACACCATAAATAGGCTCTGCAGGATTTGATAAAATTACAAATCTCTTTTTCAATACCCCCAAAAGCCCGTTCAATTACATTAATGCATGTAAAAGATTAAAAATTTCTCTATGGTTTCAGAGTGGATTTCTGTCAAAATATTTTTTCAAATGGTACTGAACTCCTCTATAAGGTGTAATAAGACCACTTGTCAACATGAATCCAATATCAATCAAGTAATATTCCCCTATCATCAAGTAAAATACTTACTTTGTTAGTTTTAAATTTGTGATGTTATTTAATTATGTCACTTCCTGATTTTC